ATAATAAAAGCAGGCCTGGGCAGCATGTGCTTTGTTTCCTTACTTCAGATATTCCCCAGTGATAACCACAGGTTTTCAAGGGGCATGTATTTGCTTTCAGTGCATCTGTACTAGAAGGAAGGAGACCTCCAGCTTTCTAACACACTGCATTTCTGATCATTCTTCCCATCCACTTGCAAATGTGAATTGTCACCCCTGATTTATGTTCATTAATCAAAATGGCAAATGCATGTGGAGTGCAGAATCAGGGTCCAGGCTGTTGTCTGAAAATGTGATCAATCATCACTGATTGGCATTTTGAGTTAAATGATATAAGAATGTGGAAAACAGATGCTTGCTGAGGATGAGGGAAAGGAAGTTAGGGCCAAGAGGTTAGCATTTTAATTGGCAAGATGTAAAATGTTTACAATAGAAAAGACTAAATAAAGTCTGAGTTTTGTAAGAAAACAATTATGCAAAATGCAAAGAAAAGTGATGTAAAAAGGCATGCATTTATGTAAAAGATATCTTTAAAACAATGCCATGGATACTTAAATATGCTCTCTGCAGTAGTGAAAATAAGGCCATGAAAATAGGACTTGACCCACATCTTATATTCCTAAGGGACAGTAGCTAAGTATAATGATAATCAGTTCTTCATAAAACAATAAACTTAGAAAGTATTTAATGTATCCTGTCTCTATGTTCTGCTTATTGGTGAAGGTGGGTGGTAGGGTAAATTTGTTAAATGAATCTCTTTAAAAAAAAATCTACATATAGTCATTGAAGAACAAATAGCTATTTTATTATAATCTGATGAGATGAGAATGTACCTTATTCCTTGGGATATAAATAATATAAAACACAGGAGCAAACATGATATTAAAGCACATTTTAAAGCCAAATAAGATTATTATAGTTCTAGAAAACTAGATATGATTCTATAAAGACTTCATCTAAGGATTTCTCAAATAATCCTACGTAATAAAAGAGTAATATGCAAATTAACCATCACTCCACTATATCCACCAGCCAATCAGAGAAAGTATGAAAATTAACCCCAACCAAGATGGCTGCAGCCACAGAGAACAGGAGAAAGGCTTGGGTTTGCCCAGCAATAGAGGAGGCCAAGCTTTCCACACACCCTGGCCAGCCTAGGACTTCTAGGCTACAAAGTTTCAATTGAAGAAGATAAATAAATTCCAGATACCAGGGCCTCTGCTTGAGTTGCCAGGAGGCATGGCTGGCCTGCAAACTACCACAGGCTCCTCGCTCAGACCATCCCATACCCCAAGGGAACCCCCACCCTGATCCAGGACACCCTTCAGGGCGAACGAGCTGGCCCTCACCCATGCACCAGGCTTCTATCCTATCTAATAAAAGAGTAATATGCAGATTGACCATCACTCCAACACACAAGATGACTGCCCCCATGTGGTTAAAGATCCTGCCCCTATGTGGACACAAAATGGACACCACAAGATGGCCAGCAGGGAAGATCAGTTGGGAGGGACCAGGCCTGCAAGGGAGGGCAGTTAGAGGCAATCAACCCTGCAGGGAAGGGCAGTTAGGAGTGACCAGGCCAGGAGAGGAGGGAAGTTGCGGGTAAACAGGCTGGCAGGGGAGCAGTTAGACATCAATAAGGCTGGCATGGGTGTGGTTCGGGGGTGATCAGGTTGGAAGGCAGAAGTGGTTAGGGGCAATCAGGAAGGCAGGCAGGCGAACAGTTGGGAGCCAGTAGTCCTGGATTGTGAGAGGGATGTCTGATTTCTTGTTTAGAACTGATCCCAGTGGACATCCCTTGAGGGGTCCCAGATTGGAGAGGATGCAGGCTGGGATGAGGAACAACACCCCCCCCCCCCCCACTCTGTGCATGAATTTTGTACAACGGGCCTCTAGTTATAATAATAATTTCATAATTTATCCTGCAATAATTAACAAGGTTCTCATCTTTTAATAATTGATTTTATTATTCTGTTATTATTTTAAATACAAAGTTGTCACATAATCTAAAAATAAATATAAGACATACTATAGGAAAAAGCTCTTCTCATTCAAAACATTACTCCCCAACTGCTTATATTGAGATTTTATACTCTCAATATAGTACCCATGCAAGAAATATTTTGAGATTTCTGATTCACTGAACCATTGAATAAAGAAATGAATGAGTTTTGTATGAAATCTGTATCATAATTTCCACTTGGATGAATCTCTATTCTATATTATTAGGATATAAAACATTAAGAAATAATTACTACAAAAGTGAATAAATTTGTTATGAAGTTAATCAATTAGTTTAGAATGATGGGTTCTTAAACTGCAATGATGGCAAGATAAAAGCAAATGAAAAGAGCCCTAACCTGTTTGGCTCAGTGGATAGAGTATTGGCCTGCAGACCAAAGGGTCCCAGGTTTGATTCCAGTCAAGTGCATGTACCTTGCTTGTAGGCATATCCCCAGTAGGGAGTGTGCAGGAGGCAGCTGATCAATGTTTCTGTTTCATAGATGTTCCTGACTCTCTATCTCTTTCTCTTTCTTTCTATAAAAAATCAATAAAATATATATTTTTTAAAAAGCAAATGAAAAGATTCTAACCTTGTATCTTCATTGAAAACAAGCAGCAGTTTTTAGAAAATCCAAAATTCTAGGTCAACTTGTATGCATAAGCCATGGACACTGACAATAATAGTATGGTGAAGGCCTGGGGGTAGATGCAGGGTGACTGGGTGGAGATGGTCAATGGGGGATAAACTGGGGACATCTGTAATACTTTCAACAATAAAAATTCCAGGACAAAATTTCTTTGAAAATTTGAAGAAATAACCTATTTTTAGGCAAGCCATTTAAATGTTTTTTACAATTAAATTGAAGAATTAGACTATCTTTAACCCATACCAGCTGCAAAATTTATCGAGTCTAAATTTCGATAAATCATTTAAATTACAAACAGGTTATATAATTGAAAATCTAATTTTAAACACACACATGTGCACACAAACAATAGTTATGATCCAAAAATGAACCTGGATTAATGTTAACTGAGCAGCAGGCACTCTTCCAGCTATGAGCTAATTTAATTTATAACAATCTTGGGATGGAGAAATAATTATCACTACTTTAGAGATAAATAACTGACTCACCCATAGCTATTAAATGAGCAAAACTTGAAACCTGGATTCAATCCAGGTCTGTATAGATATCTAACTCCACTCTGCAACAATATTCAACTACAAGTTATGAAACACACACACACATAAAACACCCAGAGAGAAAGAAGGGGAGGGAAGAGAGCATGGGGTATTTAACTTTCAAGAAATTTTACAGCAATGTTGCATGTGCATGTGCATATGTGAGTGTGTGTGTGTGTGTGTGTGTGTGTGTGTGTGTGTAACAGAATGCTTACTATAGTTCAAAACTTAATGTTGAATGATAACTTTGCCAAGGATAACCCATGGGCTTAGGCAAAACAAGTATTTCAGAGGTGAGGGGTTGGTGGGGGGTTGGAAGAGATTAGCTAAAGAACATATATGCATATCCCACAGACACAGAAAACAATGCGGTGGGGGCTGGGTGGAGAGGGGCAAATGAAGTAAAACGGGAGACATCTGTCATAGTGTTAACAATAAAACTAAAAAAAAAAAGTCTTTATTATTACATCCTTAACCCTCTAATATTGGGCTTTATTTAAAATTTGACCATGCATCTTTCTTTGGAATCCTCTGGGGGAAAAAACAACAACAGTGGGACATGGATGCCCTGGTTCCTATCTGGCCAGCATGGCTCAGTGATTGAGTGTCAACCTATAAAGCAGGAGGTCATACTTCAATTCCCTGGCAGGGTACATAGCTAGGTTGTGGGCTCAATCTACAATGTGTGGTGTGCAGGATGCAGCTGATCAATGATTCTCTCTCATCATTGGTATTTCTCTCTCTCCCTCTCCCTTCCTCTCTGAAAAAAAAAAAAAAAGAAAAAAAAAAATATATATATATATATATATTTTTTTTTTCCAGAGACCTTGGACACAACACATTGTGATATCACACAGAGCAACAGATACTGGCCTCACACATAAGGTTTGTTTTACAATAGCAAGGTTCTCCAATGCTAAAATAAACTGAAAACGCATTTTTAAGGAAAAGTCTATTTTAAATCATTTGTTCTATTTAGATCAGAGGTGGTTTAGACCGCCTTTTTTCCCTCTTGAGAAAAAGATTTTCATAAAACCAATTAGCCCTTCTCTAATTGGGAATGCGTCAGAAGCTGTGTAATGCACACGCTGGTAAGGGAAGTTCTGCTGGAATCAATTATGATGGGTGGAAAAGAGCTATCTGCTTCCTGTGAATTGCATAACATCCGGCTTAAATAAGCATCAACATTAATAAGGCGCCCTTAAGTTTCCATAGAGCTTTCTCTGGGGAGAATATGTTACTGTCAGTCAGCTGCCAAATGCTTATAGAATGATTAATGAATCATATATAGATGATTGGCAGCAAAATTCTACTTTAGAGGATGCGTCAATCATTTTTATAGCTGCTTTCCATTTTCATGGACAAGAGCAATACCAGTCTTAGCTTTAGAACCATTATAACCCCAAGTAGGATTGCTGTAGGCCACCAGCTAGACAGAGATCTGGAGAAGATTTTACTCCATTTCATTTTATGTTCCTCTAGGCTAAACCAAATATCTTTGTTTGCACTCTCCAAGCTCAAGGCAAGCAGGTAGGTGAAGCAGGTAATTCATTTGAAGTGAAAAATTAATGACAGAAGCTTACCATACCAAATCATATTATCCATTTGATAAGTTATAAGGCAGGGTACAAAGTGGAGTGCCTTTGTTTCAGTCATGCAGTTTTCCATGTTTTTATCCTTCAATAATTCATTTATCATGTTCCTCTTATGTCCATTCCACCAATTTAATTTGAATTAAAAAAAAAACCCAGTCTCTTTGAATAAAGGGTGGCTCAATTAAAATAATATTAACATTGCTAAAAAATATAGAATTTCCCAAATATCCAAATTTCTTTACACTGTGTTGGAAAAGAATGATATGCTTAAATGGCAACTACAATATTATTTTCCCACATGTTGGCTCTAAGTGTCTAAAACTACCGGTATATTTACAATAAAGTCTAATTAGCTAAACTATTTTTGAGGGAAAAAAGGTCGAAGTTTCTCATATCTGAAACTAATTCAAGAGTATAAGGAGTACCTTGGCCAATGTGGCTAAATTGGTTGAGCGCTCTCCCATGAACCAAGAGGTGGACAGTTCAATTCCCAATCAGGGCACATGCCCAGGTTGCTGGCTTGATCCCCAGTAGGAGAATGGGGGAGACAACTCATGGATGTTTCTCTCTCTCCCTCTCCTTTCCTCTTACTTTCTAAAATCAATAAAGACATGTATGTTTTTTTTTTAAAAAGAGTATAGAAGTAGTGAGATCAGAATAGGTGGTCAAGAGTTGGTCATTGATATATTTTTTAAAATCCTTATCCTTTGGAGACTCTATGGTTTTTCTAAAGAAATGATTTGTATGAACAGGAGGCAAAACCATCTCTGCTCTTTTGCTGTTTCAATAAACCCAGAGATATCCTGGGTGGGTAAAAATAGGGTTACAGTTGTTCTTATGGAAAATAATACAATAATTAACACATATTAGTATAAAAATAAATTTGTGTTTTGTGTACTTAAGCTGAATACCTACTTTTGCCCATGCCTTTAAAACAAAACAAAACAAAAACAAAAAACAACTGCAACAACTGCAACTATCTTATTGGTCATGTGAGGCAATACAAGTTAATAAAGTTGAAACAGTCAAGGGTAGAGGTCTTTAGCTTTCTCTCAGGTCACCATGGTAGCAATGATAGCTTTGGTAACTGGCTATTTTGTGCAGGATTCTTATCTATGGTGAAGGGAATTATCAGAATAACTTTCTTCCCTTTGTTTGAACTCCAATTTCTGTTAGAACACAGAAAAGACATTTCTAACTTCTGATTCACTGGGAAACGCTGGTACTTCTTCCTGTTTCTTTTGTACCATATCCTGACCTGTGCCTTTTTCTTTTTCATTCTCCAACTACAAGAATGGCATGGAGATTTCAAGTGACATACTTGCTCCAATTGGTTGGTAATAGATGTCTAGGGATGGATTCTGATCAGGTTCAGTAGGAAGGATCAATTAACAATGCTTGCCATAGGCACAGGAGGGTGCAAATTAATTATGTGTGCCAAGTATTTGCCATCCCTACCCATGTCCCACCACATCTACATGTCTGCTTCATTATAAGCTGAGAGTCACAAGCAGTTTTTACAATACCCACACAAGATGAGAGCCAAAGGCTATGCAGGTTTGTTTCCAAGAGTTCATAGACCAGCACTGAATTGTTTTTAATTAACAGCTTGTTTGGCACCCAAGCTGAAGTGTTACAGAAGCAAATGATGCTTCGATGCACTGAGATAGCAGGGTGGTTGTCTAACTCTCTGGATAGACAGATGGACAGAGAGACTGACAGGATTCTGGGAGTACGTAATACAAAATCCGTGAATATACTTGAAAGAGCACTGTGCATTTTGGTATTATATTAAAAACTATTCTTAAACTCCTAACGGACATATTATAATTAAAAGACAACGACATTTATGAGTGACAGGATATTTGGATACATTCCCCCAAAGCATTTTACTATTTTTAAACAAGTAGCTTTCCTTTCCAATAAGTAAACAAGCAAAGTTTTGTGTGTTTACCAGGTAGCTCTGAGTACTGATGTAAGGGTCGGGTAAGTCTAAGCGTTAGAGCGGACTGCACCTAAGAAGCTGAAACCTCACAGGGACCAGCTACCAGCTACATTTCCAATCTCACCGGCACTGGTCTCTGCACCGTTCTTTGGCGACTCTTACGTTTCTAATATTCTCTACAGTCTATGGCTCGGGGTTTCTCCAAATGTGGATCATGTAAGCCAGTAAAATACTTTTTGATTGTATAAGGATAAATAATTGTCCTTCTATGAGATTGATGAGGAGGCTGCTGTGAACTTTTCTCTCCTTGAATCTCAGCCTAGCAGCCTTACTTGTGGCTGATTCACACATGCAAGGTATTGGTGGCATGCAGATTTTTATGATGTATTGGGTCAGGGACCAAGCAGAGAACAAAGAAGTGCGGGGTGAGCCACAGGCCCTTCCCACGCTGGGGCTTTTTTGCTTCGGGCACAGAAATGCTGCTTGCAAAGTATAGATGGTAGGAGCAGAGGAAGAGTGAGACTCTATAATTTCACAGTCTTTTAAGTATCTTTGCCTGAGGTGGGTACCTCACTGAGTCAAATAGTAACCCGAGAGCTAGCTTTCTGCTTCCTACCTTCTTCCCTCTGCTTAAAAGACCACTTCCCATAATTAAAAATGTAAGCTGTGGACTGGCTCATAATATCCAACTACTGCACATGTGAAATGAGATTCTATGTTCCAGTTAATATCAACACGAAGGGAAAAAAGGGAATTATCTCATTCATTTAAAAAGCTCATCTTAAATCATAAACTAAGTAACAATGGGCCAAAGCAAATCCCTTTATTATGACTGATAATAAAAGAGTGTTGCATTAAATATTTTATTTCCTAAACATTTTTGTATAGATAGTAGACTTATTATAGTTTCTTTTGATCATTTAATTTCATTAAAATATCTTTCTTTTATTTATTTTTATTGTTCCCTAATATTTATGGCACATCATTTTGGATGCCCATTTATGGTAATAGCATCCTTTATAATGTGTTGGTTTAAGTTTAAAAAGTGGACCAATGAAGAAAATAATAGTACAAGTGGTATAAGGATATGGCCAGAAGTTTGAGAAGCATTGGTCCAAGTTCCAAACGGCGTAAATCTAATGGATTAGTAACTACCATCCTCCAGGAGAGTTCAGACCCTCACTAGTTCTTAAATGAAAGGGCTACCTGTGTCATTCAGATGCCCATCTTTGGTCCAGTCAGCAGCTATCCCTATGCAAAGAAGAATCTAGACCGGACCCATGATAGTTCTGGAAGAAAACAGAAATCCTAATGTAATTCCTTAGTGCTTAGTGTGTTCCTAAAATGTTAATTTTTTTTTTTTTTTATGTAACATAAACCTAACCCATGGGATTTAAGACGGGATTTGAGATAGGTCCCTGCTGTGCTCTGATGTCACATAGAACCATTTCTTAAAGTAAAACCATATTCATGACATATTCATTTTAAATTAATAAAACTTAAGGATATATTAAATTATATAAACCACTTGGTTATATGAATTAAGATGTATTTTTAGTTTACAAATATAAATTGGGTTGATGATTGAGTACAAGGCTTGCCTCTATTTATAAATCATATATGTAAAATATATCCTTCAATATAAATAATGAACTTTGAAAAGAAGCCCAGGATTTCTTCCTATACATATACTCCCTAAACTTTTAAATTTCAAAGGAATTATTTATTTTTAAAGGATTTACATTTTATTATGTTAAATAATACTTCAAAATAAAATTTGAAGACATTTACTGTGCTATTTGCAGCTACCAAATTGAAAATATAGATGCAAGCTAGAAATCCAAATTTAGTGTAATTTATTTTCTTTTATAACTGTAAACTTTTTTAAAAAGTTTAAAATGCAGTGGAGGTTTTGCTTTTCAGAAATATAAAACAGCAATAAAAGAAGGCCAACAGTAAATAATTTGTTTTTGTTATTAAGGAGCCTATTTTCAAAACTCACACAGTGAGGCAAGGAGATCCTACATCCTTAGCAGGCACCTTTTCTAGGCTTCAAAGCAATATTATATTGCCCTCTAATGGAATTTTTGAACCACTACAAACTCTATGTAGATCACAAGAAAATGGCAAAAATAATGTATTTTAGTGATGATAAGCAAATTTCAAAGAGGTATAATTAATATAAGGGCAGTTTTAATTCCTATTGTTATGGTACTTAATTCATGATTGTAAAATAATTAAGATAAGTCACCTTGTAAACTGTATATGATCAGTTTAAGATTTCCTCTTGTACAGCCACAGTCACTTGATCCTCTCTGCAATTAGATATCATTCTCAGTTCTGCCAATGATATCCTTTCATTATTTTATTATCATATAGAAACAATGTACTCATTATGCCAAGAGCTTTGTTTAGTTATATAGCAGGAAAATAATATATTTAAAAATTTTTTCCCCGCCAAAACCAGTTTGGCTCAGTGATAGAGCGTCGGTCTGTGGACTGAAAGGCCCCAGGTTCGATTCTGGTCAAGGGCATGTACATTGGTTGCAGGCACATCCCCAGTGGGGGCTGTGCAGGAGACAGCTGGTCAATGTTTCTCTCTCATCGACGTTTCTAGCTCTCTATCTCTCTCCCTTCCTCTCTGTGGAAAATCAATAAAATATATATTAAAAAATTTTTTCCCTTTCCTTAAATAAGGGTATTTGTAAATATGCACATATTCTTAACTATATTTCTATACTTTTAAATAGTTCTGAGAATAGGAAAGATTAAAATATTAGGTCAAAGGTGTGAGTTTATAGGGACAATTAGTTTCTTTGGCCACAGCTTGACTTGTCATCAGAGGTAGTCCTTGATCACACATGTAAAAGTAAGTATTAATTACCAATACAAATATTAATTACCTATAAGGATATTACCAATCTAGGGGAAAGGGAGGAGGCTTCTTCCTGTATATTAAACTATGGGATTACATTTGGTAAGTAATTTTGTTGCATAATGTAATCTAATAAGTCTTTTAAAATTTAACATAGGCACAAAATTAATATAATTGCTAATTTTTCATCCCCAGCAGCATTTTACCTTTACCTAGTTGATGAACTCTATTTTAATTTTCTTCAAATTGATATAGATATAATTTACTAAAGATGGCTATATTAATATATTTTTAAAAAACAATTTGTACTTCTTGATCCTTCAGCTTTAAAATTAGTATGGCTGAATAACCCACGTAATATGTCTTATTGATATACATACACGTGTAAACACACACATGCAGATATTCTTTTTGCCTTTGGGAGTCACTATGGGATTCAGCAATAATGTTAAGGGATTATTAAAGTGAATATATTAGCCCCTTTCATGATTTCCTTTACCTAATAAACACAAATGACCACAGTCCCTTGTGGTTTATCATTGGAAGCATGAGATTATATTCTAACTAGGCCCGAGGCATGAAATTTGTGCATGGGTGGGGGGCAGGGGGGACACAATCCAGGATCACTCAGTGGATGTCCGATTGCTGGTTTAGGCTGATGTGGACTAAACCAGCAGTCGGACATCTCTCTCGCAAAGTGGGACCCCTTGCTCCTTACAGCATGCCTGCTCACTCTTAATTGCCTGCCTGCTCGCTCTTACTGCTTGGCTGGCTGCTTTTTAGCACTGCCGCAGAGGTGGGAGAGGCTCCTGACACCATAGCTGCACTCACCAGCCATGAGCCTGGCTTCTGGATGAGCGGCACTCCTGCTCTGGGAGCGCACTGACCATCAGGCAGTATCTCCTGCTTGAGCGTCTGCCCCCTGGTGGTCAGTGCACATCAACCAGTCATTCTGGTCATTCCACCATAATGATCACTGGGTTTTTATATAATATACATAGACAGATGCTATGAGTATTTTAACTAAATAGTATACACAATGTGGCCTAGAATGTCAATATGTATTTGTGCATTTTTTTAAATCCCTAATGCAAACATCAGGCTAAAATAGCAAATCAAATGATATATTTATTAATCTTTAAGCCTTGCCTTCCATTTCATTCTAAAAATGCAGACCCCCTTACCTTACTTTAGTGATATACATTTATCTTGTAACCTGTTTCAACTAGAATCAATCTAAAATGAGATATAATTAGTAATAATCTAGCACATGTCAGGAATGCTTTGCAAAGGTAGATAAATTCACCCTAAACCATGGATTAATCATTCATTAAATGAACACCCAATTCCTCTCAATTCTCAAACGTAAGGCAGGAATCAATAATTATTGGGATCCTTCTTTCTGCAGAGTCTGGAAGATCCTGAGCTTCTTTAGTACGATTATTTGAGCAGCTACTATCAATTGTTTGAAGTTAGCATGAAAGTTAATCTCTATTCTCACTGTGCTCATATTTTTCCAAATTCACTTGTGTTAAATCTGGACAAATAGTATTCAGTCTATGACCAGCTTCCCCTGGGGTGTCTTCTGCCAATGATGACCCTGGTGGCTAGTAAACAACAGCAATGTCATCCTTTCAGAATCTAGTGCAACCAACAAGAGCATCTCAAATGTCACTTCCTCAAGGAACGTTGTCTCCAGTGTCTTCTAGCAAGCACTTAACAGTTTTCTAGTTTTATTGAGATATTATTGACACATAAAAGTTTAAGGTACACAGTGTGATAATTTGATACATGTACTAGTCTATATTGAGAAATGATTAACATATTAGGTTAGTTAGCACTTCTATCTTCTCACATAATCACCATCTTTTGTGTGTGGGGGTGTGTGTGTGGTGATAACATTTAAAATCTAATCTTTTTCTACAACTTTTAAGTATATACTGTAGTATTATTAAATACTAGAAGCCCAATGCATGAAATTTGTGCAAAGGGCTCGCCTTCACAGCCCCGGCTTCATCTGGACAGTTGTTCTGACAGTTGTCCGGATGGTCGTTCTGCTGTTTGGTCTAATTAGCATATTAGCTCTTTATTATATATAATTGACCATGCGGTGCTTTAGATTTCCAAATGTATTCAGTTTATAGGTGGGAGTTTACACTCTTTGATCAATATCTCTCAATTTCTTCAGTTCTTGGCAACCACCATTTTACTTTATTTTCTAGTCAGCACTTTTAAGACCAGGGTAATTCCATTGCATAAAAAATTATTGTAAGAACTGTACATGTTACAATGAACTGAAAATGTTTTTTCTATTTCTCTCACTAAATTAAAAAGTTCTAAAGATCACAAAGCTTGTCTTACTTATTTTGTATACCCAGCCCAAAGGCATTACATATCATAAAGACACTCATCTTAAAAAGAACCCAATGCATGCCAGCACATCAGACAAGGACCTGCAAATTGGCTCTGTGCACACATGAGCTTAGCTCAAAACTATACCTTACAATGGAGTGTGATAATCCTTCAGCAGGCAAAGCTGTAATAATTGCTACACCTTACAGCACTGTGTTATCACCACCCTGGAAATATAGAGTTCCAGAGTCCTGATGTTGAAGGTGACACTAATTTAGGGAAGTGGATCAAGCATCCGGGAGACTTGAAGGAGTCCTAATGGAATCATTGGATGAGGCAATGAGAGGATGGAGAAGGGAGAAGATGGCTGTAATCACAGGATAACTGTCCAGATTTCAATGGGGGCCATTAGGTCCATCTTCACACTGAAGTCTGCCCTTGCCTTATCACTCTGCTCTATCAGCCTTGCTTACCACCATGAATACTGCCCTTCTCATTCCCAAGTTCTCCACTGTGGATCTGCTGGAGCATCACACTTTCTTAAACTGTTATTTTGCTCAAATTCAGAAGATCTCACACAATAGAAAAAAAAATGTAACTAATCAGATTACTTTTGTAGAAGAGAGGGATCTGAGTCCTCTAATTCCTAAATTTTGACCAATCTTGTGACTTCTGATGCAGCGTAATTTATTTATCAGAAGTTATTAGATTTTCAACAAACCATGTAGAATGGAATTTGCCCATTTGCCCTTAAGTGTTTCCTAAAGAAAGCAGTAACTGTTCCTTCCTAAGTTCTGCAATGTATATGCTTCACAAGTATGCTCAATACATTTTTAAAATATCTGACATTAGTTTGTGATAAAAATCTATACTGTTAGCATGAGGAATTCCAGGAAATTTGGACCCTCTGAACATTTTTGTACATCCCCTATTGAATCCACAGGATATAGAGTTCTTTATCTTTTCAAACTAAGATGTACCATGAATTAATGAAGCAACAAAATAAAGACAGTGCATCTTTCTGGATCATCAGTTTTACTCAATTCACAGGACAGATTACGTTTGTAATTAAAAAAACAAACCCAAGATTAAAAAAAAAAAAAAAAAAAGCTTGATTACGGGGATTACTTTGAAGTAAATCAGCAGGATCTCTTATTTTCTGTCGTTAGAAATATGTCAAGTGGAAAAGTGTGAGAAATACTAAAGTTTCTCTGTGAGTGAAACAAAGGAAAGGAAATGCAAACTATAGAAGATCCAAGTTCTGACTTCAATGATACACAAGGTTACACAAGATTCTTTCTACTTCCTTTTTAATAAAACAGCCTCACTTTGCCTAGCCTCATGGTGGATATAAACTAGCCTCAATTAAATTTTGATGGAACTAATGCACTGGATTTTCCTTCCTGTTTGTTGATAATGTAGTATATAGCAATGTTATATTATACTATCAAGTAATGTGTTTATTACTAACAGTTACATAAGATAACACTGGCTACATAAATTCTATTATATAAAAATGGAAACAATTTTTTATGAGCTCATGCACAGATGGTAACTTGGATCTGCTACAATAAATTTCCTTAAGCCTTGGGTTTATCTTATTCTCAGAATAAAATAAACTATGACACTTCCACTCAATAGCACTAGCTTGTTTAATTAGAGACCACCCAGAATATGACACTTCTTAGAGCCTTTGCTTAAAAGGGAATCAAAATCAAGATCACATTTTTCATAGAAATTGTACCAAAATGGATACACTCAACCCATTTCTGCTGTCATCCTGGAAATCACATGACAGTGCTGTTAGAAAGCGTTGCATACAGAATACTAGCATTCCTACACTTATACATCAAAACAAAATGTGACAAGTAAACCTTTCCAAAAATATTATCCAGAGTTTGCCAAATAAAAACAAAACAAAAAACAGGCTGTCCAAAAGATCCTTTTAAAATTCATATTTAATTGCTTTTAATATTTTTGATAGAAAATGCATCTAATTTATTTTCATCAATTGAATATAAAAACAATTTCAAATATTCTGAACAAGCCAGTTCACAAGCTGTAGTCTGAATAAAGTGAAAAATGGCCTAATACAAGTCTAATTTATTTCTTCAAGGTCAGATTTTTCTGAACCTTATCAGAACTATAGATTTAAAAAAGGCTTATATAACTGACACGTCAATTTACTTGCAAAGTAAATTAAATTTATAATCCTAGCAAATGATATAGTCATTGATAAGGATATCAATAGAAATAGCTAAGACTAAGCTGATTAGTTAAAAAAAAAAGGTAGCTTTCTAGATAGAAACTTATTTTTGAAATAATTACAAAATTATAAAGTATTCAGTCTGGCCAAAATATTCTCTTTGTGAAGATTTTTATGTTTACTCCTTAAAAAATAATTTTTAAGCTTATCTCTATTGGGTGTAGGGAGATCAGTGTGTTACTAAGAGCTCTCTTAGAGCATATTTTAGGCATTCCATATTTGTCGAATATTCAAATGAAGACATATGTCAGAATTTAAAAAACAAAAACCTATTCAAGAATTCTCTCTTACCACCCCTCT